TTCAGTTATTTTCATATATCACGGCTAGGGAGCGGCCATTTCTACAGTTTATAACAATGCTACAAAGCCTACCTTTTGACTCTGTTCAAGAATGGCAGGGTCCCAGGTAGCCTGAAGATCAGGAGTAGAAAAGGCATTTTCCCCCAGGAGAGCATCCATCCCCATGTAGTATTTAGGATCAGTCTGAGGCAATCACATGTTCTCTGCTGGTACCCTTTGAGTGATCTCCAATTGTCCTGGAAAACTTTAAATTGCACAGGTTGGAACAATATTTGAGCTACATGTTTAATATCAAATGGAGCAAGCAGGTCAGTGTTTAGCACTCTGATAATTTGCATAACTTGTGTAGAACCAAGGCCACATTTTACTACCTTATCTCGCAAATCTTGGACCACCCTCCAGGCAATGATATCGTGCCTGTCAGCTTGTCCTGTGTTTGGGACAGCTTTATACACGGGAAAGGCTTGGACTCCCCTTTGTGGCGGAGCGCTGCCACCTGATCCGTCTGTGTCTCCTCCTGAGAACTTCTTGACTGTCATTTACGGCTCCTTCCTCCAGATTTGCTGAGCTGGTAAGTCCACCCCTGGGCATCCGCACCTTCTCTCTCAGGTCCCAATCTCCATTCTCTAAAGGCCGCAACTTAACTAATTCCCAAAAACGGTGCAACGTCCACACATGGCTCTGGGCCAGCGCTGCGGCTTATCGGTGCCGGTGTTCCACTGCCAGGGCACGGCCCCGTTGTGGGGCAGGCTGTTGCTGCTCGCTGCTGTCACTGTCGGCATCCCGGACGGCAGCGGGCGGGACAGCCTGCGGGCAGCAGAGGACGGCGGGGTGGCCGGAGGCACCAGAGCGGAGGAAGCGGCTGCAAGCTGCGGAGCAGAGCGGCTGGTTGCAAGCCCTAGGGCGGAGAAGCCAGGCGCCGGCGGTGGCGCGGTGGAGGGTGCAGCCACAAGCTGCGGCACAGCAGCAGTGCCAGCAGCGAGCTGCGGCGGGGCCCCGGCCATGGCTGCAGCGCAGGCTGTGCTGGTAGAACTGCAAAAGACACCAAGTCAGCCCATTCACACGCCGCACAGCGGGGAGGAGAAGGCAGCTGCACCAGTTCCGCAGATGAAGGCGGGGGGACGGAAAAGATCACGGCTCCTGCTGCATCATTTGCCGATAGAAAAGGCTCTGCCGCTGTCATCTCTGCCTGCGCCGCAGAAGAAGGGGGGACAGCCAGCACGGGATGCCATGTCAGCTGGAGCAAAGGAGCACCGGCGGGCGCTGGCGATGCCGGGCTCTGGCCAGTGCATTTATGCAGGCTCCGTATCTGGCAATGCAGGAGCCCAAGGGGCACCTAGCTGTGGCAGGGACATTCCTGCGACCTCGTGCAGCTCTGGGGGAGCAGGAGCCGGAGCGAATTAGGGGAAGGCATTCTATCAGGTCGGATCGGAACACGGCTCCTGGACTTGTCCGTGGCTGTGTTGCCGGCAAAGAATATCTTGACTTTATATAACCATAAAGATGAGGCTATTTCGGCGGAACACAATCTCTAGGTGAGAGACAGATTGCACGGGAGACCCCCATGTCTCCCACGGGTCCGCATTGAGCCAGGGAAGAGCCAGCAGCTGCCCAGCCCGCCTCTCTGGCCCCCTGGGTGTCGGTGCCCTCAGAGACAGCATCTTCGCTTTCTGAGGTCCCCATTTGCACTTCACTTTCCCTTGGCGTCTGGCCTCGTAAAGCTCTGGAGGCCGGACCCAGAGCTTTAGGGTCTGGGCAGCTATTAATCAGGGTAGCTACTAATCTGGGTAGCTACTACGGGGTGCAGTCGTATCTACCTTGATGGCCTCATCCCACAGACAATCACCTAGTGTGTCTGGAGTCTGTGGATTAAATGCAGTTTTCACACCTACTGGGAAGTCAGGAGACTTAGCCCAGGCTAGTAAGGTGTGGAGGGAGACATCCAACACAGAAATTCCCATATGAGGTATCGTATCTCTCCACACAGAAAGAAATACATTTTCTTCTGTAGAAAGATGATTGCCCCTGATAAAGGAAACTCTTCCCATCAGCCTGCAAGCCTACCCTGGGATGCAGGCAGTTGCTATGTTGGGAAAAGCCGTTCCTCACCCAGCTCTTAGGCTATTCGGGCCACTACCCGTGGTCACAGAGGGACAGATCTTCTCCAGGAAGACGCGGGGAGAAGTCACTGTTACCTCTCTAGGAGGACAGAGGGTGTCCAGTTGTGAGGGGACTGCCGGGCTGCCACGGTGTCTGCCGGTGAGGGGGTTTGAAGCATGCCGTCTGTCCTGCAATTCCATGAGGGTCGGTCACCAGATGTCACCGTTGAGCCAGGAACGGGAGTGACAGCAACACAACTTGCATTTTCAGAAGTCATAAAAGCTCACTTATTACAAAGCTTCACGTTTTTATAGGCAACATCGTTCACCCAGAACATGACTGGTTCTTAATAACACCTGTCACCCCACTGGTTAATTAGGAACAACACCATCTTTCCATAATATCATGAATAACACGTTCCACATTTTCACAAACACCAGCTGCAGAGACCAAGATAAGAATTGTTTTAATTCTTTTCTCTGAGCTTCTCACAATTTCCCCAGGACGATGCCTGGGAAACTACCTGTTTCTCTCTGAGAACGCCCACAACATAGGACACAGACTGGATCCCACCACAGATGGCGTTCTCACCCTTGACCCTGAAGGGCACCAGCCCAGGGTCATGCCCATGGGATTTGGTCATGGTGCAGGTTCCTTGGAAGTCAACGCCAGGGCTGTCGAAGGTGCGGAAGTGTGGGTCACCCCATGCCCAGCATGTGGCAGCCAGGGCTGGGACACAGCGGGATTGGGCACCACAGGGCCGGCAGCGCTCCTTGGGGCAGCAGCGCAGGGACTTGGAGGGGTCTGGGAGGGGAAAGCAGGATGAGCCACGGGCTGGGTGAAACAGGAGATAAACACTGGGGGAAGCCATGGGTTGGGCAAAAGGATGGGAAAAAAGTGGGGGACGTCATGGGATAGAGGAAACTACGACATGGGAAAGACCACGGAATAGGAAAAATCACAGGATGGAAGAAACTATGGGACCAACGATGGAATGAACTATGGGAGAAATCATTGGATGGAAAACCATAGGAAAGAGTATGGGAAAAAAACACTGGGAAAAACAATGAGAAAAACCATGGGATGGGAAAAGAACATAGAAAAAGCCATAGAAGAAGCCATGGAATGGGAGAAACCATGGCAAGAATCATGGGATTGGAAAAATCATGAGATGGAAGAAGCCATGAAATGGGAAGAGCCATGGGAGCACCATGGGAAAAATCATAGGATAAGGAAAAAAACATGCAAGAAACCATGGGAGAAGCCACCAGATGGGAGCGACCATGGGAAGAATCATCCCATGCCTGACCATTAGTGCCAGAGATAGGATTCTGTTCCCTCCATCTCCCCTTCACTGTTTCCATACTAAATCAACCCCCCAGTCATCCCTGGATCTGATCTCCCTCTAAAACCCCCTTTTCCCCCATTTTCCCTCACTTTTACTGATGTATCCCAAGACCCCTTCCCAGATTTCACAGGATTTATCCTCATTGCAAGTGTGGTCATGGCAGGTAAGGCCCTGGCCAAGGACACAGGTGCAACGGTACTGGCAGTGATCCCAGAAAAGCATCTCATGGGGCTGTGGGGAGGGAGAAGGGAGAAAGGGAAATCAATGAAAATAGGAGATAAAAAGAAATAGTCAGGAAAAAAGGACATAAGTGCAGAAAAATAGGGAAAATAATGAATGAAATACAAGGAAAAAGGATGTAAATGCTTAAAAATAGGGAAAGGGGGGAAAACACAGGAAGAAAAAACATAAATTAATAAAAGCAGAGAAAAATACAGGGGGGAAAGCATAAATGCAGGACAAATAGGGGAAATGCAATAAAGGAAATGGAACTGTACAAATCAAAGCCTGTTGCATCTGGAGCTAGCTGGCCACTGGAAAGCTGGAAATCATCATTACAATTTTTTTTGGCCATTGTCATTGCCGCAGAGGTGCCCCATGTAGGTCTGGGGGACCGTGACCATCACGTGCTGGACGAGGTCACAGTGGACAATGAGGCCAAAGTCAGTGTGGAGCAGGACACCTGTTCCATGTGGGTAGACCTGGACCTGTCCCTCGCTCCGGAGGGTGCAGGGATGGTGACAGATGGAATCCACCTGGGACAGAGAAGGAAGAGTCCTCCAGGGAGGAGCTGGGACCAAAAATTTGAGGAAAACACATTCCAAACAATATTCTGACTGATTTATGGATCCGACTTGGAAGGAAAAGTTGGATGAGAATGGATTAGTCTTGGAGATGGGGTGAGGGCTCCCCTCACCAAGGAAACACAGTTTTGGGGTTGATTGAGGTAGAATGAAAAATTTAGGGAAAACACCTTCTGACCAGTTTTAATGCATTTACAGATCTTGCTTAGAAAGAAAAGTTAGGAGGAGTATGCACTGGAGATTGGAGATGGGCTGAGGTGTCCCTTCCATCAAGGAAACCAAATCTGGGAGGGATCCCATGAGATTTGGAACATAAAGTACCACCTTACCATGCCACCTGTCCCCTTTCATTGTTTCTAGGTCAAGGTGACCCCACAGATTTCCACAGACAATGCTTGGATCCTGGGGACCTTCCCCTTCTGCTGTGCCTCCTTCTAGATTGTGACAGTAAATGATGTCATGTTGTCACCTGTGCAAGTCTGGGTGAGGACACAGGAGCAAGTACCAGTGATGGTGAAGGCCATCCCATCAAAGGTCACAGGTGCTGTCACCCATGGCCACACAGGTACTGGACACCTGCGAAGGACACGAAGACACCACTGATGACCCTGCCATGGCCACCATCAGGACAGGAAGTATTTTGGCTCTCCAAAGCATCACAGTCTTGGGCTCGCTGTGACCCCTTGTTCAACTTGGCCGGAGGGAGCTGGCAAAATAAGGGACAGGAAAGATGACCTTGCCCAGAAAATAGAAGTTTTAATAACAATAAAAACAAACATGGAAACCGCAGAGTACGGGGACAAGATTCCAAAGACCCAGGGGTGGCATGGCAAACACAAGCAGCTATAGGGGTCTTTTGAGGGCAAGGGTCCAATCACGAATGCGAACTCAGAACATGACTTTATATGTACCAGGCACTGAACCAACTGAGAACAAGAACCACAAATCTGACCAAATACAGCATAGTTCTATTAGCATACTGACTCCCATGACCCCACTCTTCTCACCATGACCTGGCTGGGTGTTCCCCTCCCCAGTATGCTCTTTCCCATGGCCTCAGGTTAATGCCTTCTGTATATGCTACTGTGGCAAAACTACTATTCATCCTGGCAGGACACAATTCCATACCAACATGCCACCAGAGGCACTGGCACATTTCCTGCTCTGTGGGGTAGAATGTCTCCCCCTCTTTGTGGTAGACTCTGTGGTGGCTGCAGCCACAATGGGACATGGGACGTACTTGTTGCTGCTGAGCATGAAGCCATCCTGACACGTGCAGCCCTCGCAGCACTGCCCTTGGCATGTGGCAGCGCCTCAGGTGTGCTGGCAGGTGTGGGAGTAGAGCTCATAACAGCTGTTGGAAGGACAGGGAATATCTGCCAGGAGACAAAGGGATTCATGAGGAACCAGGAAATTCCAAGCTAAATACTGGAAGTTTCCTGGAATTCAAGTGCAAACTTCACCAAATACAGAGCTTTTTAGCCCATGGCAAACTCTCAGTTTTCATCCCTGTGCATGTGGTAAGGGACATTGTCAAACAACGATCCAATGATTATCTGATGATGATCCAATGATCATCCATAAGGAATATCCCAGCCCATTATAGTGGGAATTTTTGCCACTAAACCACCCAATTTCTCTCATTTTTATGGAGAAAAATGTAGCACTCCCTCAAAGAATGGGATCGCTCCACACTGGGTCCTGTGGACCTCAACTGACCTCCAGGCTGGATCCCTTTAACCCAGTCCCACTATTTTTGGTGCATTTTTTGGTGGTTCTCCCTCTAAATCATCCACTTTGTAGCCAACACCAGGAAATCGGAGATTTTGAGGGGCTAAATTATTCCAGATGAGACAACTTCTTCCTTAGGAAGGGTTTATGTTGGGTGGATTATGGGATCAACCACGACTTTGGCTGGGATTCCCATGCACCTCTGGGTTGTTCATACACATATTTGGAGCAGACTTGAGGATCCTTTGGATACTGCTGAAGGAAAAACCCTCCCATTGTCCCAACTTACAGCAGAAATTATCTGTCCTCCACCTCCCGATGGACACACCAGCAGCCTGGCATGTGGTGGTGTAGAGGGCAATGACTGGACACATCCCTTCTTCCTGATCAGGGAACAGGCAGGAGTCATGAATGCAGCTCTGGAAGTACTGGTGGCCATCAACACGACCATGACAGGCTCTAAAGGGTCCATCCACTTCCAAAATAATTTCACACCCCATCCCAGAGACTTCCTGCTGCAGCCAGGAAGGTGCAAGAGTGCTGGAACATTCCACTGTTTACCTCTCACCACATCCTGGGACATCCATGACCTTCCAGCTGCTCCCAAAGGCATCTGGGTCTGATGTCACATGGTTGTTCCTCATCATCATGTTGTTTGCTGGCAGCACCAATGTAGTTCCTACAAAGCCTGCACAGGGGTTGGCAAAGCCATTTGGCAGTGACGTGGCTGTGCCAGTTGTAGGTGACAATAAGGCCAAAATTGGTCTCTACACCTGCCCATTTCGATAGACAACAATCTTCCTTTCACTGTGGTAATAAGGGAGGCTGACCAACTGTTGCGTCCCAGGAAATGAAGAGGATGCTGAGACTGGGATGCTCTGGGAAGACACTCATCTTTAAGACAGGGTGACCCAGGGATATACGCTCCCCCAGTTCCTTGCCTTGTTATGTTAATGATCCCACTTACATCACTCCTGTTCTCCTCCCCAGTTCCAGAATGTTTCTCACTCACATTTATCCCATTCATCCCCATTCCTTACTACTCCTCCCCTGATTCCCAGTTGGTTGTCCCCTGTAACCCTGCCTTTGCAGCATCCCTGGTCCCTCTATCTATTGGCCCTCAGACCTGATGCTCCTCCTCCCTTATCCCATATAAAACCCTGGCTCTGCCTTTGTTCTTTGTTCCTGGACTCTTCAGTATGTAGGTGCAATAAGCTACCACTGGAACTCTACACAAAGAACCCCTCCTGCCTGCTTTTTCCACTGACCTGCAAGATACCACCTGGTGATGTGAGCATCTGGTGCTGGCTGGGCTATCCCTTCCTAGAGGAGATGGTCTTGGGACGGCTGTGGCTTCAGCAGCTTCTGCTGCACTGCCGCAACCTACTGCTCATCAGTCTGGAGAGAAAACCATACAGAGTGAACAAATTTGTAGTCTGATGCTAAATTCAAACTATTTTCAACTGCCAGAGCAACCAAACTGCTTCAATTTAATTAAATTTTGGATTTAATTATATTTGGGATTTAAGAGTATGAGAAGGTCCAATTCCCGTGAGGAAGCTGACCAACCACTCATCAATCTGGGAAGAAAACCATAAAAATTGGTAACATTTGGGTCTGATGGGAAATTCCAATTCTGTTTTCAGCAGCCAGAGCACCCCAATTATGCTCATTTAATTACATTTCAGATTCAACCATTAGTTAATGCAATGAGGTTTGGGTTTAGTTTGGGATGAGGTGGAGAATGCAGTGAAAAGATAAAGGACCACTTCCCAAACTCATCATGATTTTTCCAGGGTGTTCTTTGCTGATGCTGATGGTTTTGTTGTAGACCTTGACTGTCACCACAGTGATGGACGACATGAGGTTGTGACTCCGGTGGCCATTCTGCACCAACACCTGGAATCCCACCAAATTTTGGGTGTCCACACACAACCCTACCAACAGGTAAGACACACATCCCCTGGAAGATGAACCTTCTTTCATCAAAGATCTCATAGGGGGTGGCTCCAACAGCAGTCCAGACCCCAAAAATTTTGGGATAACAGTCCTGGATCCCCTTCTCCACCTGGCATCCCTCCTCAGTGCCGCAACCAGAATTCCGGCACACTGCCTGCCACTGCTCCGCGTCACACACACAGCCTTGGGTACAAGTGAGGTCACCTCAAAATTCCTCGCCAAGGCCATAGACGAGACCCCAAAAGACACAGCTACATTCAGAGGGGGCAGTTCAGGTGTTGGCATCAAGGACAAGGCCCTCGTGGCACACACAGTTGCCCACACAGGTGGTGACAGCGGCACAGCTGGATGGCACAGCGGGAATGTTGCAGGTAGGGAGGCAGGCGAGGCTGCAGGTGCTGTTGGGCGGGCAAGTGAGCGCTGGACAGGGAGGGAGACAGCAGTCAGGGTGGGGTGGCACATAGTGGGACAGACTTCTTTGACTGTCTGTACAGATACCCTGGAGTCTCCATGGATTTTATGGAGCCTCCATTGATTTTCTGAAGTCTCCATAGACTTCCTAGACTCTCTACCTGGACTTTCTGGAGTCACTGCAGATTTCCTGGACTTCCTGCTCAGACTTTCGAGAGACTCCATGGACTTTGTGGACTTTCTATATGGACTTCCTGGAATCTCCTTGAACTTCCATGGATTTCCTGCTTGGATCTGCTGCCATAGCCCTTCCCAGCCCATGATCCCAGTGGGACAGACTTCTTTGACTGTCTGTACAGATACCCTGGAGTCTCCATGGATTTTATGGAGCCTCCATTGATTTTCTGAAGTCTCCATAGACTTCCTAGACTCTCTACCTGGACTTTCTGGAGTCACTGCAGATTTCCTGGACTTCCTGCTCAGACTTTCGAGAGACTCCATGGACTTTGTGGACTTTCTATATGGACTTCCTGGAATCTCCTTGAACTTCCATGGATTTCCTGCTTGATCTGCTGCCATAGCCATTCCCAGCCCATGATCCCATGGATCTTTAGTCCCACATTAATTAGGCTCCGCCCACCCCAAGGAGTATTTTCACCCAACCATCCTCTACTCACAACATCCCACTGCTTCCTCCAATCAGAAACATTGATCGATCCCCTCCTCCTGGCAGTCATCAGCATAGATCTCAAAGGCACGGCACAGTGCGTCACGATGCCCCTCATTGGCACACAGGTCGTAGATACAGTTCTTCATGTACATATTGGGAGATAGTGTCATGGCATGACCAGAATGGCCCAGAATGTCGAGACAACTTCCCACGCCAGGTCTCTGCCTTGTATGTCACCGCCTGGTTCCATCCGCACAGCTCACACTCCCCATCGCGGGTATCCTGGCAGCGGCCACTCTCACTGGTCACCTTCCAGCTCCGCCCAAACTCCACAATATCCCACGCCTGTTTACCATCAGAAGGGAGAGCATCATCCCAGAGGTCCCTGTTGTTCGTGCACGTTCCACAGACTTTTCCAGAAAGAGCAGCCAGAAGTTTGATCACTACATGATCACCTCAGTTGTAGAGTACCTTCAGCTTGAAATTTGATTGGATCAACATGGATTGGTAGACGTGGATCTTCCCATGGGAGAGGGACATGGGGAGGCACGAGTGGTGGCTGCTCACCTGGAGGACAACAATCATCAAAACGACCAAAATCCACCAAAATCGGGCCGCACATGGGGTGTAAGAAGATTTGAGGTGTCTTCATACAAGGGTTGCCTACACATCAGCAAATCCTGGAATTATTTAGGAAAAGACCCTCTAGATCATTGCTAAATATGTAATTGCAGCAAAATTTTTTAAAAATTACTTGATTCTTGCTTACCCTTATGTCCTAGGGTGACTTTATGATGCTTGTATCCCCAATCATGTGTTCTGTTTATGGATATTCTAATCTGTGCCTTCAAAACTGGCTCTCAGAGCAAAGGCGGGGAGAAGAAGCACAGAGTTTTTGTTAATAGCCTCACTCACTCCTCCACATTTGGCTGGACTGTTGATGTCTGGGCATGGATGGGGCAGAACATCATGCTCCTTTTGCTCCTTTTGCTTTTTAGTTAGTTAGTTTAGCTAGCTGAGGCAATCCGAGCCTTCCATGGACTGTTTTTCTTTCCCTCTTCTTGGAACCATTTGAACCTGCTCCAGACTGGCACCCAGGGAAACACCGAGAACATTTTGCAGCCTGCCAGGGCCCACTCTGCAGCCTTTCCCAGCGCCAAAGGAACTGATAACAGAGCGACCACCCACTGGAGAGACGTTCTGAATTTGTCATCTCTTCAGAGCAGCGAATGAGTTCTGTCATCCGGTATTGTTCATTTTCTGTGCTGGGGAGTGCTTTGCCTGTTAAATAAACAGTTTCTTCCCACTTCTCTCTGAGGAATCCTTCCTGAACAAGTTGGGGGGAGGGGCCGTGTGGGTTTGCTTTGTTAGGGGCCCCCTTTGGAGGTTTTCTCCCAAATTTGCCCTAAACCAGGACACCTCACTATCCCATTCTCTGACAGGACTGTGGTGACAGTGATGTTGTCTATGGGACTGGTGATGGAGCCGGTGGAGAAAACTTTGGAGTTCTCCTTTTCCTCCTTTTGGACCTCAACAGAGAAGGCAGGAAGGGTAGGATCAGGATTGCAGATGGTGGTCAAGGTGTAGGCACATGTTCCCATGAAATCAAATGTTTTTCTATCAAAACTGTGGTAGTGTGGCCCGCCAGCGAGCCAACAGATGGAGAAAGTCTCCTGGATGCACTCCTGTTGTCCATCCACCATCTCACACCTCTCCTCGCACACCAAATCCTCACAGGAGACTGGTGTGGGGACTGAAAAAAAGGGAAAAACCCATGAATGGTCAACTGCACAACACCCAGCCACTGGGGTGACACAATAATGGACTGACTGTACACACTGGTGGCACAGAGCCCCAGGAAGCCATATCCAGTGTGACTCTGGAACCCAAACACCAGGAGCCCCGTGGGCACCCACAAGTTCTCAGTGCTCTGCATTGCTGCACTCACAGTGATGCTGGCCCAGGAGAAATCTGTGCCAGCAATGGCCTGCCACGCCCCGGTGTTGTCTGACTGATGGTTGAGGGTGGTGGTAGCAGTGGCGGTGGTGGGTGCAACAAGAATGGCATGGTTGTATTGGCTGGGTGTAGCAGGCACAGGGCCTGCAAGACCTCCTTGGGGGTCAGAAGCCTGAGCTAGGAAATGCCAAGTCACGATGACTCGGGCCTTAGGAACCCCTCTCTTCCGCCTTTCGGACCCCTGCTTATCTCTCTGTAAGCCTATTGGTCACTTTTCCCTGACCCTTGCTATTGGACAGTTTCCAAAACCCCTATAGGGTATAAAAACCCCTAATTCTGCCTGGTTTGCCAGAAGAGCTGTCACAGAGAACCTTCGTGGGACACCCTAATAAAGAATCCTGCGGAACCTTATACAGCGCTTCTCCTCTCTCTCCCTGTGTCTGCTGCCACGGCCACAAGCAAGCCAAAAGACCTGATAATCACTAAGAGCTGAAATCACTTGAGCTTGCTTGGCTGCCTGCAGCTAGGAACAGCTTGGGAGATCGGACCAAGTCTGAGCCTCCGCTGAGACTATCCTGGCCTCGGCAGTGCACAGCCCGGCTGGAACCTACCGGGATAGCTGGGCACATTGCTGAAGCAGAACGCAGTGCATTGGGCAGTGACAGGTGGGACAACAAGGAGGAAGGCATCTGACAAAATGACCCACTGCAGAAAAACACCACCTGCACTGCCACCTCTGCGCTGATGTACAGGTGGGAGTTGTGGTTCACCACGAATGTCTGCACCTCCCCTGCCGCCATGGCCACAGTGGCATTCCCACTCCCAGTGTTGTAGGTGATGGTGCTGTCTTCAAACATAAACAAAGTCAACATCTGCTTGCAGTGGTTGGGTGGCATCACGTAGCTCCTCCCCCACACTGCCATTGGGAGGAGCTGCTCCTCCACGAAGTCAAAGCCAGCAGATGCCGTGACACAGGTGTGGCCACTGAGGACAGCCACAGGGGTGTCAGCCACCACAGCCGTGCCAGTGAAGTCCCGGCTGCTCTGGAGCTGCGGGCTGTGGCAGGGCTGCAGGAACAGGCGGAGCACGGCACCAGGGATGTAGGTGGCCCCTGCACAGTGGAAAGTGGTGGTGGTGGTGATGCTGATAGCTGTGGTGGTGCCAGTGGCCCCAGAAGCTCAGTCAGGCCCTAAGTGTAGTTCCCAAGCAGTGTCACCACACAGTATCTGGTGCCCACGCTCTCCATAGGCAGGAGGGCAGCGGTACCCACAGTGTAGCCCTTGGTGCTGGCAGACGTCACAGCGATGTCAGCACTGGCCTGGAGCACCAACGTTTTATGGGAATTGTGGCTTCCAGGGAGTTCCAGGTTAGCAGGGAGGGCAAGGGCACAGTGACGTCTGGCCTCGGGGTGATGCTCTGGGTGACAGAGCCGCCGCAGAGCGCCGCTGACACCTGGGTGTCAGCAGGGCCACAGGAGGCGAGCAGCAGCTGCAGGTACGCGCTGCAGGACTCTTTGTCCTTCTGTGGGAACACGGCCAGGAACTCCCGGTCCCGGAGGCTGGCACTGGAGAGCGCTGGAAAAACAGGGGAGAAAGGGGGCCTTGGTTAATTTTTATATTAACCAAGGGGGTTATACAAAAGGGGCTTTTATATTTTTATATCAATTCGATACGTGTTTATATATCAATTTTCCTATTCTGCAGTAGGAATTGTACTGAAATGACATTAAAGATATGACTGCAGTATCCAATTTATAGAGTCCATTTTTATATATAATCATAATAGAAATAGTATTTACAGTTTGTTTTGTTAATAAACAACATTTCTATTCTATTAACAAATTATTAAAATATATCAATGTGTTAATAACATGAAGTAAGGTTGTATTATTAACTAATATTATTTATATAAAATACTGTTCCTTAAGATGACAATATTACTAGATATTAATATTATTATACCCTGTGTTCATGATATATTAATGGCATTCTCGAATATACTTTAGTATATTACTACTTATTAGCACATTGATAAAATATTAATAACATAGCGCTCATATATCAGTAAAAATTTGTCAATTACATTTTAGCCTGTTACTATTTTAGGCTGTTATATAACTAAGTTATATAATGGATAACAAGCATTATTATAATTATATTAGATAACTTAGCAATATCGTTTTCTGTTATTATTATAGAGATTATTAATTATAACATTGTGATATACAATACTTACATTTAAATACAAAGTAGTATTTTTTCTATTATTTTGCACTTAATTGTGATAGAAATATCAGCAAAGATTTAATCCAAATCCATAAATATTAAAAATAATTAAAGTAATATAATAATAAATGCTGTGGCTATTGAACTTATTTCAGTATTAATCATAGCAGAAAATAAATTTACATGTTATCTTTATAATTATATACAACAGTAGATGAAAAATTATACAGATAATGATTTTAAATAATTTTATTTCTTGTTTTCATAGAAACTGTTTGGGAAAAAATGGGAAAAATCAAGCAAAAATAAGCAGTAAGGAGCAAAATTACAAAGGCAGAGAGAATATTAGAGACCAGAATAGAATTAATATACCGTTATATTATACTATATTGCAGTAGAATCTATCATTATATGTAATTATATAATGTTATATGTAATATAACAGTTATGAGAGTGGATATTACATTGTAACACAAAATAGAATTATATATATAATTATGTTATTAAATATAATGTCCATAAATGGCATAGTTATAATAAATTATAATACAATAACATAATGTCATACATATATTATGCAACACTGTCATATTACACTGTAAAATATTCTTTAATTGCATTATATAATTATATTTATAGCAATTTATATCTATTATAGTTTACAATTATCTCTTAATAACTGTAGTAATATATAATAACAATATATCGTGTGCTATATTAATAAACGCACTAATATATGAATAGAAAATATATTACGTTTTTATAGTTCACATCTTTTGTATATCCATATAAACTTCTAAATCATTTTATACTGAATTTTCACAGAAAGTTTTACTAAAACATGCAAATCAAGAATAACGACAATAACAACATAATTACAGCAGAGTAGATCATACGTTGTATTTTTTATGTAACTACAGTGGAGCTACTATACATTCCTATAGTACTATTACATTATTACTTTATCCACAACATATAAACATATAAATAAGTATTAATAAGCAATTAATTGTCATATTAATCAATATTATGCTATTCAATTACACTATTTAATATTATTATTAGCCAATTAAAATTTTTATTTTGTATAAAATAAAACGCACATATAAAAATATATATATAAAATATCTAGAAATATGTAAAAGGAAAAGCAAACAAAAATATTTTAAAAGGACCAAAAATATTTTCAGAGATTTTTTTAATGCTATAAAACAACAAAATAGTCCTTCTTTGCCCCAGAACAGGTTAAAAAGAGTGGGTGTCTTCTCCTAATACAAAGGGGAAAAAAAAGAATTCTTGAGATTGTCAGGGGAAAAAAAACAGGAAAATGAGGTAAAAATGGATTGAAACTCAGGGTATATATTAAAGCCCATAATAAGGGGTTTTTTTTTTATTTAAAAAATAGGGAATATGCGATGATGGATTAAAAAAAAAACAATTCTGGTGATTTTTTCCTGGAAAAAAAATGGAATTTGAGTGCTTTGGGGGAAAAACAGGGAATAATGAGGTTTGACTGTGAATAAAAAATAGGATTAAAGGGGGCTGTCTGAAATAATACACGAAAAAGAGTTGCTTTTTTAAAAAAGCGAGATCTTGAAGAAAAATCAAGAGGGAAATGAGCATTTGGGATTTTACGCATTAGAACAAAGGTTTTTTTCTTTAAAAATACCTGAAACTTAAAACAGAGTTCAAGAGGGCTTTTTTCCTTAATGAATAAGTGTTTAAAATAAAATTAAACAACAACAAAAAAAAAAGAATAAACAAGAAAATATTAAGGGAATAAAAAGGTTTTTTTTTCATTTAAAACACTACCTAAAAATTGGGTTCATCAAAGTTTTTAATGAAAATTAGAAAAAAGACAGAAAAATAAGGAATAAAAGGTTTGGGTTTTTTTTCCTTAAGAAGCAACTACTTTTTTTTAAAAAGACCAAATAAAAGGCCTTTTTTTTTTTTTCATTTTAAAAAACCCTTTTAAAAATAGATCTTTTTCCCTGGAAAAAAAAATACAATTCCAGCATATACATGTTGAGGTTTTGCCCTGGAAAAAACACTAAAACACATCATTAGAATCTTAGCTGAAAAAAAAAAAACCAAACCAAAAAGTAAACTAAAATAACCAGGACAAAGTGCACTTTTTTTTTTTTCTGTAGAAAGTGAGGAAAAAGGGAATTTTTCCATGAAAATTAATGAGGCATTAATGAAAAAATAACATTATAAAGCTTTTGGATTAAAAAATATTTCAAAATGGGTTTTTTTGGTTAAAAATAATAAATCTGCAGATGAGAGCTTGTTGGAAAAAAATGCAAAATGAGGGAAGAAGGAAATTTTTGGGCAAAACCAAGCCCAGGGATTCAGGATTTCATCTTCTGTGCTAAAAAGCCTGGAAATAGGTACAAAATCCGGGAAATCTGGGGATTTTTCGTGGAAAATAGGGGTTTTACACACCACAGAAGGGAAGGAGGAGCCACCAGATCCCATCTTGTGCCACCCCTGAGAAAAAAACCAAAAATCACTAAAAACTGTTATTTTATGGGAAAAATCCTTGTGAGCCCTGGGTTGTCTCCAGAAGCCTCAAATAACCCCAAAATTACCGCAAAATGCCTTTTAATACCCCAAAATGCCTTTTTTCTCCCCACAGAAACCTCTTGGGGCTTATTTTGACCCCCAAATCCACCCCAAACATTCCAAACTCTAAACATTTTGTCCAAAATTCCCCAAGTTTGCATCAAAATGGTTTTTCTTCTGAAATTCTCCCCCTTTGGGCCAAAATATTTTTCCCCCAATCCCTTTTGGTCAAAATGGAATTAAACAGGGATTAAACATCCCTCCCTTAAACATCCCTCCCCCCATCTTTCCCCCCACCTTGAGGCCACACCAGTCTCTATCTCTATCAGATTCACTCCAAAACCAGATTAATTTTAACTAAAATCACCTAGATTCATGTCAAAATGGGGTTAAAATGCTGACACAGCCCTCCCACCAACCCCTGCCCTTGATGCCACCTCAGTACCCCATTTCCACCAAATCCAAACTAAAACTTCATGGAAAGGATGAATTTTTCCCCACACCCCCACCAGTTTCAGTCAAAATTGGTATTTTTTGCCCTGTTTTTTGCCCTGTTTTTGCTCCCAGACTCAGATCAAAATGGGGCTCAACATCCAGGAAAACCCTTCACTCACCTTGTCCCACACAAACCCTCCCAAATACTAAATTTGGCCTCAGAGGGGGGAAGAAAAAACCCACCAAACTTTGGGCATGATGAGGGCAAAAAAATTCTGAAATTTGGGAGAAACGTGCACAAAAAGGGCAAATCCCTGAGATTTGGGGGGAAATGGGCAAAAAAAATTTTAAAATGCGGGGGGGGGGGGGAGTGTTGAAACCCAATTATTTTGGAAGAAAAAAGGTTAAAATTATGAAACTTGAGGGGAAAAGGGGGAAAAAGTCATAAAACTGGGGAAGGGAAAGGGTAAAAAAATATGAAATTTGGGCAGACAAAACCCTCAATTTCTGCCCATCACCAAACAATAAGGAAAACCAGGAATAAATAGGGAATGAAGCCTCCCCACTCTTCCCCACTCACTGGTCCCTTGGCTCTTGAATTCCTGGGCCCCTGCAGACACAAAGTGTTTGTCCCAAAGTCACTCCTTTTATACCCAAATTAAAAACATCCAAGCCACAGCAAACCATGCAGATTTGGGCAGATTCAGCAGAATTTCACGATGGGGGCGGGGGAATGGGGACAGGGAGGCATGACCCACACTTCCAGGGAATTTGGGAGCTGGCAGCTGGATCCTGTCACGGATGGGAAATGATGGGAATGGAACCCACAGGACATCTCGACAGATGTGAGTGACAGGGATGTTGTGACAACTGTGGGACCCACAGCAATCATCCCAAATTCCCCGAACTCCCAGAATCGCTGGGAGTATCACCCGTGGTAGCCTCTGGCCCCATGACACCAGTGAAAGGACAGACCAAATCCAGGTGGTTTTACCCAAAACTAATGACCCAAGTCGCAGCAGGAAATTCCAGAAAATGGGAAATTCTGGACCAAATGACTGAAAAAGATGAAGAAAAACAGCTAGACCCAGGAGAGATGACAGCAAACAGGCAATTAAAGGGCTTTTGCCTTAAAATGAAGACATAAAAATGGAGAAACCCTGAACCCCACAGAGATCCTCAAAACTGTCCAGAAACAGAGACACCACCCCCAAAGTATTGGGGAAAGATATTGGGGGTCCAGGAAGGGGTTTGGGGGGACCCTTGGGCTTTGGATGGTCTTTAACGGTCCGGGGATCTGTGGGATGTTTTGGGGGCCCAGGACAGCGTTGGAGGGGGTCTGTGGGGACAAGGAAGTCTGTAGGGGCGCCTGGGGGTTTATTGGGCATATCGGGGCGGGGAGCCCCCAAACCCGTGGGAGCGGGGCTCACCTGTCTTCCTCACCTTCACACGGCCGACGTGGCACCGGCGGGTTCTGGTGTCCCTCCGCCCCTCAGGGCCATGGGGGGCGTCAGAAGCTCCCCCTGAGCCCCCAAAAATCCCTCCTGCCCCGCCTCCCATTGGCCGCTGGTTCCGCGGCACTTTACTCACTTCCTGGACTACAACTCCCGAAAGGCCGCGGGGCGCCGTGGGACGCCGATAGAGCCGGGACTGCGGTTCCCGTCATGCCGCGCGGCCCGTGGGAGTCCCCTCAGAGCCGGGGCTGTCCCCTGAGGATCGTCCCGGCTGCTCCCCAAGTGCTTCCCCGAACCCTAAGTGCCCCCCGGGGTCCCGTAAGTACCCCAGTTTCCCTCTCCTGACCCTCCAGTGCCCCTCGGGGTCCCGCAGTCCGCACGCCCCCCGTCCCCTACTTTCCCCCAAAATGCCCCCTCTGTGTCTCCTCGGACCCCCAGGTGCTCCCCACCTGCCTTCCCGACCCCTAAGTGCCCCTCCAGGCCCTTGAATGATCCCGCAAGCACCCCCACCTGGCCTGTGTTGGGGGGGTGTGAGTCCCTCAGGAACTGCTCCAGGTCCCTTTCCATGGGCTGAATCCCTCAGGTGGAGGCACCTGGGGCATGATTCATACCCAATACACATCAATTTTTGGGTACAGCTTGAATTAGGTGGCCTGCACCTAAACCACTGTGTCTCGCAAGAGTGGCAGATCAGGTCTCCACCTTTCCTGGATTTCTTTTCCCTTCAGGACTGCCTCCCAAGGGACTCTTTTAATGGATCTCCTAAAAAGGACAAAATATGCTCTCCAGAAGTCCAAGGGAGCAGTTCTGCTGCTCCCTCCTTTCTACCCCCACAGTGGAAAACTCATTTTGTGGTTGCTATGCCCAAGACACTCTTAACTACCACATCACACAGCACTGATGGAATCATAGAATCGGAGAATGGTCTGGGTTGGAAGGCACCTTAAAAAGCCTCTACTTCCAACCCTCCTGCCGTGGCCAGGGACACATTCCACTAGACAAAGTTGCTGCAAGCGCTGTCCAAACTGGCCTTGGACACTTCCAGTGATGGGGCAGCCACAGCTTCTCTGAGCAGCCTGTGCCAGCACCTGACTACCCTCACAGGGAAGGCTTTTTTCTTGAAGCTGATCTAAACCTGCTCTTTATCATGGGAGACCCATTCTCCCGCATCCTGTCACTCCAGGCCCATCACCAAGACCCATGGCTGACAGCAGTCCTGGAGCAGCTCCATGGAGATCCATTGCTACAAGTGGTTGCTGTGGGCATGAGCTGAAGCCTGTAGTAGATCCTCTTGCCATGGCAACCACTTGCTGTCTCATTCTGAGGGTCAGTTTCCACAGCATTGGCCCAAGAAAAAATCTGGACCAAGTCTTGGCCCAGTTGTAATCCTGGACTGCTGTTGGAGACTTAAATATTATCGTTTATGACTTAAACATCTTCTTGAGGAACTTTTGCCTATTACCGTAAAACTGTTTTACAAAAGCTGCAGAGAAGACTACCACACCCTGAATGGGGCACTGACTGAGGGCCTACACTCAAGACAAGAGAAAGTAACAACTCAAGGCTGAGGACGTTCACAGAGCACAAGCCTAAAACCTTCTGAGTGGAGAGCGCAGCCCCAGGGCTATCAGTTGCCAGACTCCAACAGACCCTCAAACCAAAGGGTGGGGGGGAGAGAGGTTTTGGGTGTGTGATGAAAAAGCCTCTGGTGAGAGGCAGTTAACACCCATGCTCTGCTGTGCAGAGGAGCTAAGTTGTGGGGCCCCTTCACCCCGGGAGAAGCTGCATCTACCTGAAGGACAGAGGGGTGTCATGTCCTATCAAAGGCCCCCCAGTCTTGGGCAGCCAGTCAGGGGTCTGATGGTTTGACCCAGATGCCCAGCCTTCCCAGACAGAGGTCCCGCAAGCGACACCTTTCTACGGATCACAGGCAGTCCTTCAGACGCAGGGTAACCTCAGCAATGGGCAGGCAGTGCAGCTCTTGGCAGTGATTTCAGCTCTGCCTTGCGAGGTGTACCCTGGCCAACACAGGGACAAAGAGACAGAAGCACTGTATAGCAGTTCCACAGAGGTAGCCTTTATTCCAGCACCCTGCAAAGGAGGCTAGAGATGACAGCTCCCTCATGAACAGTGCAGAAACTGGGGGGTTTGTGGGGAAAAGTGGGGGTGGTACAAAGTGGGGAAAAACCAATCGGTCCCAATGAATCTACATGGGATTCCAAAACATGCTGAGAACTCACCATGATCAAGGAGGATTTCTCAATTCAGGAGAGTTTGAGAAGATCTTATTATACCCCATTCAAGGGATACTATTGGTTTTTACCATGACATCCCACCACAACAGGATACCTCTGCAGGGGAGAGGTCCCGTATGCCTGTCTGTCTCCACACCCCAAACACTGCCCCGCCCCGACCCTGCGCCAGAGCAGTGCAGCATAATGCAACAGATCCACAGAGTTGCTATGGAGAGTGTCAAATGGGCCCCCTGTAAGGGGCACATGAGCATTTCCACCTGCCCAAAACATATATTTATTCATTGGACTTTATATTTCTTGGTGTGGCGTGGTGGTGTGGTGCGGCATGGCAACGTGGCCCCTCTGCACCCAGAGGGTCAGATGGAGGGGAGCAGTGAGACTCATTGGGACCCCCAGAAGGGTGACAGGTTTCTACCTAACTACTGTCCATTCCTCCCCCAGCACACTTCTTTCTTTCTTTCTTTCTTTCTTTCTTGACAATTCCTTCTGACACTTCCTTTCGACAATTCCTTCTGACACTTCCTTCCTTCCTTCCTTCCTTCCTTCCTTCCTTCCTTCCTTCCTTCCTTCCGACATTTCCTTCTGACACTTCCTTCCTTCTGACACTTCCTTCCGACACTTCTGCCACTTCCATCCATCAATTTTTGGCACCAACATCTAACCTCGTTTGGTTTCAATCATGTTTTTGGGTATATTTTGAGGCTTTCTGGGTTTGATCCTCTTTATTTGCAGAAACTTAGTTTCCTCTGCTGTTCTGTGTTTAAACCGGATCGTAACATGGTGAAAACCTGCACTAGGATCTGTTGCTATTGGCTTGGACCATGGAATTCCAGATTGCTTTGCAACTGTCATGGTTTAGGAATGGTACTCCCCAATTCAGTGCCCTCATTAAGACTCGCACAACCAGATACTTCTTGCTTGCTCCCCCTTTCCCTCCCCCTTCCTGCTTGGGCAGGATGGAGTTGAGAATTGGAGGCACAAAATGTGAAAATCACAGGTTGAGATAGGAAACATTTAATGTATACAGCAATGAGATCAGAAAACAAACAGTAACAGCAACAATATTAATAAGAAAAGTATACCAAAAAAGGTAACTCACATGCAAAAGTGCTCAATGTGGACCCCAAGACAATGAACAATGGCAGATTCCATCATGTTTTTCATCCAGAAGCCATGTCCTTCTTAGAGGCCAGACTGAGTCCCTTTACCCCACCCCTGACAAAAAGGTGAGGTGATACAAAATACATTAAAACCCTATCCAAAGCCAGGACAGTATCTACTCCTCTTTCTATACCATCTATTCATGCCCATACCTTCCCACTAAATACATACACACATGTCATATATATATAAATATACACAAGCACAGGTATCATTTCCATTGTGAATGGCTGGGCCTCTAAGATGTCTGCTGAGTTCATTTAGTCCATGGCTGTGATTCTGTCCATTCTAGATGTCTCCCAGGGCAGGAGGGCTGTGGTGCTGTTGGCTGGTTGCAGCATTAGGAGCTCATGACTGGTGTATCTGGAGCCATCCATCCTCACTGGTATGGGACTTACGGCACACAGTGGCAGCGTCATTCAGCACCCAATGTTATACAATTCAACATCACAGACTATTCTTACCCAAAGTCAAATCCTCCTGCATCACCCACAAAATGCACCAAGGTCCTTGAGCAAAGACAATGCCACGGATGGGTTTGCTTCTGCTTAAGGCAGGACTGATCCGAACAGTTTTCCCTAACCCACTTCTCATATGCACCACAGGTATTTTATCCCCTTTATGTATGTGGATGTTTTGTTTGGGCAGGGCCAGCTCAGTTGGGTAGAGCCTGGTAGGTGTTCACTGACCAGGTGGCCTTTGCTAAATGAAGATCCTAATATTTGAAGGTCCCACCACCCATTGCTTTCAAGGTGGTTTTTAACAGTTCATTGTAGCATTCAGCTGTCCCGGGGCCCAGGTGTTCATGAGGCTGCTTTTTAAATAAGTCCCATTATTTGAGTCAATTCTTTCAGTGGTGCTACTCTGCCACAGGGCTTGTTTTTCAAGGGTTTTTCAAGGGTCAACATGATGTTCCAGGAAGTGGCGTAATGCATGGGGATGGGTCTCCAGCCACCCAATCATGCCTTCTACCGCTGTCAGCATGTAGCTCTTGCCTTGCAGAGCTTGTAGCAGTGTGATGCAATTGATCTGCCAGGCCTCCCCAGATTTATGTTTCAACCATTGTCCCCCACACCACAGGGGCTTTACCCACCTGGCCCTGCTTGATCTCAGCACACATTTCACAGTCAGGATACCCAGGATGTAGTGTCCATTATTAAGTCCACTTCTCAGTCATGATGCATCTGTCTGATACATCTCTTCCATGATGACCTTAGATGCCTAAGGGGCCCACTGAGCCAGAAATAATTCACCATTGTGTAGCTAGTCCAGAACCACCTGAGACACTTTAATCCTGGAAACCCCATCCCCCACCCATTGTTGTGATGCTCTTCACTAGCTGACTCTTGGGCATGTGATCATCCACAGGATGGACTTTCACAGCCAGCTTCTCTACCCAGGCAGCAATGTGTCACAGCAACGGGCCCCCACCGGCTAATATTAGCATTGACTCCGTCATTCACAGAAGGCTGATCAACCTCTTCATTCCATTATTATCATTAAGAAACCCATTGCTTCTATAGACAGTTATGATGCACCTGGACCTAACTGGCCCTCCAAACGCCATCACCATTGGCTAATTAAGAAACCACGCTTTGGTAAACAATTCTCCATAACACATTCCACATGTTCACAACAACAGGTGCAGCAAGTTAAGAAATTAATTTTTTCTCATTCTTTTCTCTGATCTTCTCACAGACTTTTCCCACAAAGGCCTGGGAAAGTTGTCTGTTGCTCTCTGTGGCCAAAGAGCTGCTGCAACAGCAATGTCTTGCCACAATTCAATAACCCAGATGGGTTTCCCTCTGTGCTGCCAATTGATCTTTTTCCATTGTCCAGCCACCCCCACAGAGCATTTGCTGTTATGCATGAGTCAGTGGCCATTTCTCTCATTCAGTGATATCCAGCAACAGCCAAAATCAGCTGGACAGCTTTCAGCTCTGCAACCTGACTTGATCAACCTTGTCCCTCGGTAACTTCTGCAACTCATCACATAGGACTTCACAGGGCTGCCTTCTCTTTTCTGATGTATCCCTACAATATTCTCTCCTGAGGTAACCTCTGCAAAGGATACATGGGGCCACTGTGCACCTCACAACATGTTTTTGCCCTTCATTCCCAGTCAGGATCACTTCAGCTTCCAATACAGTCAGCTGTTAGGATTCCCCCGTCATCCCAGAAATAGAGATGGATTCTATCCCTACAGATATTGATGGCATCTGGGTACATCAGGTGCTGATGTCAAATAAAGCCTTGTACTCTTGTGGTCCTGCTGTACCAGCCATCGGATCCACATTCTCCAATAGATCTAATGGTCCCTTTCTTCCACCTGGATGGAGCCAGGGCCCCTCTAGCTCTGATCATGGTACTTGTTGCTCACTTCTTGTAAATATGACCTGGAGGTTCTTTCAAGAGGATCAGAAGTAACATCAACCCTTCTAGTCTGTCTGAGGACTTGCCCAGTGGAAACTGGAGAAGATTTATCCTTGATGAGTTTTCTGTGGTGGTGTTCTTCCTCTCAACTCACCCATGCTGCTGGGGCAGAGATGGGTTTTCAATCCCACTTCCTCGTGTCCTCTTCATGGTCACACAGTTAAAACCACAGGTTACTTTGTAGTGTGTCTCCCCTCTCCTGACCGGGATTTTGCCTGCTCCCAATAGCAGAGACTCTGGTCCATACTGGCAGGGCATGGGACATTTCCTCTCTAGTTTGCTCAAGTCTTTCAAATCTGTCTTCAGTGTTGGACATTCTTTCCACAGCCAATGCGTAGGTCGGTAGGGAGAAGAAAAGATCTTCATATTGCCAAAGCTGGGTTGTAGCTGTTGTCGCATTAGCCAAAGGGATGGGACCACGATCAGACTAAGAATGATTTATTGCTTAGATAACATCAGTCTCAAAGGCCATAAGATTTATAAGACAGCAAGCAGTCGGCCAAAGTCTAAGATGGTCACAAGTTCTTTGTTGCAAGACAGTATATAACTTTCTAATCCAATGGACAGTTGACACAGAGTATGTTTTGCTTTTCTAATCTATCCCCTTTACTTCTTTCTACTGCAATGCAGATACTTTTGTCCAATAAGGTCTTATTACATATACACACATACATCACTATTATAACATCTAAACTTTCAGGTTATTCTATACAATCACATTACTACATTACTGCACTCTAAAACCCTTCATCATCTTATCTAATACAGTTTCTTACTTAAAGCATACTCTTGCTTATAACTATAGAAGAATAAGTTTATGATTTTTCTATTCAATGTCTGTGTACCTTGCTTTCACATCAATCTAGACTTCCTCTTGGGCTGTAAATCAAACCCTCTTGAGTCTGTGAAGATTTCTATCTTCCCAATTCCCACACTGGGTAGTCACCTGAAGCACCGTTTGCTTTCCTTCTTTCATCAACATCACTGCCAATGACGGTATACAATGATGGTGGGCTTCATACAAACTTCTGCCACATGGATCGTGTGCCCTGGACCCCACCTGTATCTCCCTCCTGTTGTGAGGTCCCTGCTTCCACTTCATCCCTCACTGAGCAAACTGGTTTGGTCTTGGATTTCTTCTGTATAGGGACAACTGCTCCCAGCATGTTGTGCTTGTGGTTCAGCTGCAATTGGAGTGCCCACAGTGCCTGTTGCTCTGCCTTCCTCCTCCTTCCCCTGAGGGTGCTGTCTAGTGATGAACAGTGGCTGGTAAATAGTAGCCAGGGCCCAGGACATTGCATAACTTTGTGCCTCTCTGGAGTCACTACACCATTTTTTTTTTCGTATATTTTATCACTTTACTAGGGTCCTGTAGTTACCAGGGGTGAACTTCCAAACCACTGGAGCAGAGAAATCCTCCAAACACTGGCTCTTGTCCTCCTACATTTCTCCTGACTATCCTCCCTCAGGGAAGATCTCTGAATGGTCTTTACGAAAATTTCTTTTGTAATTTTAAACATGTTATGCACACTGAGGAGGCCTGGCAGACACAGCAACAAGAACATACTATCCTTAACACCCAAAGGGAATTCAAAATTCTCAAAAGTTGTTGTACCAGGCCTGAAGGAGGAAAAGTTGGGTGAAAGGCTGGGGAAAATCATCCTCCCCTGTTACCCCCACAGACTGGGGGTATTAATGGTATTATTATTAATGGATTCCCAGAGGTAGCACTCTAGGCAAGGGCAGGAGAGCAGCACTGAATACACATCCCAAATGACTCTCACTGCCCTTGATGTTACCATGTCATAAACTGATATCCGAGAGTACAGCAACAAAGCAATCCTAATCCCTCTCCCTGCTCTGAAAAAAGGACATACGGGAATACATACTGGGTTAGGTACCACACCCACGTGAACAGACCAAGCAACATTGTGACCACTGGCTCTGCACATAATACAAAAGCTTACATCACATTTGTTTTCAACCAGCTCTAGACAGGTCTGTTGTTATCTCAACCCTTTGTGCCTCACATTGGACAGCAATTAAGGCTGTCATGTTTTAAGAACAGTATTCCATACTTCAATACATATACTGAAACTGCAGTGGCTCTTGCTTCCCTGACCCCTCCAGCTGGAAGCACAAAAGGCAAAGATCACAGTTTAACACAAGAACAATTTACTGGAAACAGCAATGAAATAAGAAAACAGCGATAGAAACAATATTAATGACAACAGCTCATTAACAGACCATAATAAGACAAAAAATCTACACAGAAAGTCTGTGACAATACCGATGGTTTCTCCTCAAAGAAGGAACCCCCTCCTCTCAGAAGCAAGGGAGACAGTCCTTTTCCCTTACCCCTGGCAAATAATATGGTATTGAATAACCTCCTAGAAATACCCACAGCAACACCCCTCAGCTACTGGGAAAAAAAAAAAAAAAAAAAAAAAAACAAAAAAACAAACAAAAAAAACCCCTCTATTTTAGTGACTCTGTCCTGGCTGAAATTAGGATGGCCATGCTGGTGGGGAGGCTTCAAAGGGGTGTGGGAAGATGGATGCAAACAAGAAGAATGAGAAGGTCTGAAAGCAGAAACACCTCATGGGGAGTGACATGAGAATGGGGCTATCACCTTGTTCAGGGGAAGGTTCAAGGGTGAACTCCACATCATAGCAGTGCTGGTTTGGCAACTCCTTTTGTCTCTGCTGCATTGAAGAGGCTGAAACAGGGACAAAAATTGCCCTAAAGGGGAGCAGGGAGGGTGATAAGCTTTGCCTCATCCCAGCCCAGCCTGGGAGTGACCCTTGGCACAGGGGCTGCTGCAAGAAGCTCCCCTTCCCTCCTCTCCCCCTCCACTCCTCTCTCTCTGGTCCTGGGGACACAGGGCGTGTGAAGATCTCAGGGTGACACCTGCACAGCTCCTGGCTGGCAGCAGATGTGACCCCAAGTTGTCACAGAGCCTGCAGAGCTGCAGGATGCCTCAGCCTGAGTGCCTGGGGCTGCTTACTTTGGGGTGTCTGGATGCTGCATCGGCATTGCTGATCTCTGTGCCCGTTCTCTCCCAGCCTACATCACCAGAGCAGATCTTAGAGATGGTGGCCAAGGGCAATAGAAACCAGTGCAGCACCACACCAAGTCCAATGCCACCTCCTCCCACTCCCATGCCATCCTCCAGGTGAGTGCTGCTGGCTGTGGTATTGCTCCAATCAGTGCTGGAAATGAAGCTAGGAAGCTGCTGAGATAACATCCCAGGGCTGGCCCACTCAGCACTGAATTGGGAGTTATGCACCCCAGGACTCTGACGGTCAAAGTGCTCCCCAGTTTCTTGGTGCAAACTTGCCAATGGATTTAAATTCCAGCCATGTACTTCCCTGAATTTGCAGGGCTGTCACACTTGCCTGGGCAGATGGAGGCTCTGGCTATCGCTTCAGCCTGTATCTAGTGCCTCATCCATTGCTACTTGTAGGGGAGTAAAACAGGTGTCTGGATGCTTTTCCAGAGCCCTGGAAACCCAACCAGCTGTACTATCCTCCACCACTAAACATGGGAGATGCTGATTGTTTTCCATAACTCTGTCCCTTCCTGCCAGATCCTTTCCCTGGCTTTGCTCCATGTGTCATTTCCAGGTGTTTGTTCATCCTCACAGCATGCCAGGTTCCTCTCCTACTCCTGCCCCATCTTCCAGTGTGATCCACTGACCCATTCCATGGGAAACACAGAGCCCTGGTCCTTCTAGTGCAACTTGCTCCAACCAACCTCCCTAGGGGCGTGTGGAGCCATAGCTTCAGCCATCTCTGTCCTTGCAGATCCAGGTGAAGCAGTGGGACCAACGCCGCTGTTGGCTTTGCTGAGAATCTGCGTGTGGCCAAGGTGAGCCTGACTGACACGGCAGGCTGCGAGTGAGCCTGGGTCACCAAGGGCTGGGGACAGGGGCTGTGGGAGGGACCAGCATCAATCGCTCACTGCTGGCCCTCGACAGCATCATGCGCCTGCTGGCCGGAGGTAAGGGAAGGCTGTTCCTGGCCTGTCACTGCTGGCCTCTGGTTGTCCAGGGGTGGGCTGTCCATTGGACTCGGGAAGGGACATCTCCGATTGCCCCAGGGCCGAGACCTGAGCGGAGCTTCGGTCTCTGGGGACGGAGCAGGCAGAGCCACATCCTGCCCTGGATCAGCAGCTGCGGAATCATTCCGCGCTTGCGGAATGCCTTCCCTGGGCGGCACAACCCCGTGATCGCGGCCGGCCCGGACACCTGCGGCACGCCGTGGTTCGGCAGCCAAGCCAGGTCCATCCCGCTGCTGGTGAGGATCAAGCGGGAGCGACGCAGGGACCTGCCCGGGGCTCGGGAGCGGCTGAGTCAGGACGTTGTGTGGCGCGATGGATTGGTGGGTGCCTCCCGCAGGCCGCCGGAATTTCCCAGCCCTGGGGGCGCCGCTATGGGCAGAAGCAGGCGATTGAGCTGTGGCAGCGTGTGCCTAGTGTGAATACAAAGCTGTGTTTCGTGTCAGGTACGTACAGGCAACGTGTGTATCTGTGATTGTGATATGTGTGGAAACTGACCATGGGACAGTTATAAAGACGAATTCTAACAGAAGAAGTAAAGCATGGAAGAAGGCCTTTGAACCTGTCCTTTGTTCACAATTAACCTTTATAAGTCTTAAGTTGATTTAAGAGCATTTGAATTAAAGCTTTGAGGATGTTGCTGTTTGACAGGAACTTTCTGCTTATAGCTAAGCCTTAAAGAGTTTTGCAATAATAACCTTTTGAAGTATAATTTTAGAATATTACTTGTAGTAAGGATCTTTGAAACTATAGCTTTAGAACATATAAAGAGGAAACATGCTTATCTTGACGCTTTAACAAAACATTGAAAAGCAGCTTGAGAAAGGAAGATGAACATCAACTCAAGGACTAATAGTTTCAACCAAGGGAAGCTGGACATCACTGCTATGAGATTTATAGTCCTTGCAATTAAAAGGTGAACCTGCATCTGGAATCTGGACCTCACCAGCTGGGAGACTTCTTTGTTCTTTCGGAAGCCAGACCCCACCATCTGAGGATACTCCTTTCTGGGATACATCCTGAGAAAAACTAAATCACAATAGTGTATAGAATTGTGACATAAAAATTTGGAATAGAAACTGCTGAGAAAGCTTATGAGTACCTGTATAAATACCTGTAAGCTCCAACTATTGGCATACAGTTGGAGGGAAAACTTCCCCCGCTGTACCCAGTTCTGTATTGCTCATACTTTACCATATTAATTAATAAATTGATTACTGCTTGAATACTGGCCTAGTCAAGCTTCGCATTTATAACACCAGGATGACCCAGATGTGCAAGAGCTGCAGCTCCCACGTGCCGGGAAAAGGAACTGAGTTATGAAGCATTTGCTGCATCTAAACATTGAGGTCCATCTTGCTTCCCTCTTTTCCTCCTCCTCCTTCCCCTTTTCCTCATTACCATTGTTCCAACTGCAAATTTCTCAGAGGATAACCAGGGATTTTGGGACACAAAAAAAACCCACATTTTTTTGATTGGAATGTCGCTGGGGATCCCCATTACACCAGGGTGAGGTCACTCTACAGCAGGTGCTCTCTCTTTCAGCAACCTTTTTCCTCCTCCCCCACCTTCTCCTCGAGGGAAAACTTCCCCCGCTGTACCCAGTTCTGTATTGCTCATACTTTACCATATTAATTAATAAATTGATTACTGCTTGAATACTGGCCTAGTCAAGCTTCGCATTTATAACACCAGGATGACCCAGATGTGCAAGAGCTGCAGCTCCCACGTGCCGGGAAAAGGAACTGAGTTATGAAGCATTTGCTGCATCTAAACATTGAGGTCCATCTTGCTTCCCTCTTTTCCTCCTCCTCCTTCCCCTTTTCCTCATTACCATTGTTCCAACTGCAAATTTCTCAGAGGATAACCAGGGATTTTGGGACAAAACCACATTTTTTTGATTGGAATGTCGCTGGGGATCCCCATTACACCAGGGTGAGGTCACTCTACAGCAGGTGCTCTCTCTTTCAGCAACCTTTTTCCTCCTCCCCCACCTTCTCCTCCTCTTCCTCCTCCTCCTTCTTGTTATCTTCATCTCCACTGTGCAGAGCATATTTCCAAGAGAAAAGCCTGTGATTTTGGGGCAGAAAACTGCTTTTCTGGGGGGGAACCTCCACAGTGATCCCAGTCCTGTCAGGGCAGCCTCCCTCCCTGCCCCATCTTCCTCTCCTCATTCTCCTCTTCCTCCTTGCTGCCATCACCCCTACTCCCCAGGACACCTTCCCCAGATAAAAAACAGTGATTCTGGGGCAGAAGGTTTCCTTCCCGAGGGAGAACTTCCCCGGGGGTCCCAGATGTGCCAGGGCACCCTTCCTCCCTGCCCCCCCTCTCCCTGTCCTCCTCTTCCTCCTCCTCCCCCCTGCTCAGGGCACACCTGAGCTTTGCCCAGAAGAGGGGCTGTGCAGGGGGCTCAGACGGCCAGCGCAGGTGCGTGCGCCGCAGCAGCACACGGCGCATGCGGTGGAAGGCCGAGAGCTCGGCCTCAGGGATGTCCTCGAGAAAGATGAGGACAAGGACATCGCGCAGCTCATCGAAGAGGCGATAGCTGGCCATCTGGATCTCCAGCGAGCACCACTCGCTGCGCAGGTACCCGCGGCTCACCACACACACCGTGTGCCGGCTGTTGTACACAGCATCCACGATGTTGTCCACTATGGCGCGGCCGGGCCGAAAGTCACGGTGGTGCAGGCAGAGCCGCAGGGCTCCGCGCTCCAGCTCAGGCACCAACTCCTCCAGCACCCACTGCTCATCCCCGGAGTTGTAGGACACAAAGGTGTCATAGGTGTAGCGCCGCTGCTCCCGCCGCCAGTGCCCACGTGCCCACGCACGCAGCAGGAACAGCTGGTAGCGCAGTCGCCAGTACCCACGGTGGTGCAGCAGTGGCAGCACCAGCAACAGCAGCACAGCCGGTGCTGTCCCTGCAAACAGGTACCGCCCCATGTCCAGGTAGCACACACGTGTGTCAAAGCAGTGCAGGTATCTGGAGGCCCCACCCATCTCACCACACGTGTAGTTATACAGGTAGACCACCTGCACGGGCCCGTGCGCCAGCCAGGCAGGCAGCCAGGCATTGGCACAGCTGCAGCTCAGTGGGCACTTGCGCAGGTCCAGATAGCGCAGGGCAGGGAGGCGGGTGGTCAGAGTCACATCCAATGTACGCAGCTCATTCTTGGCCAGGCGCAGCTCCTTCAGTTGTGTCAGGTTGCCAAAGACCTCAGGGCCAAGGCTGCGCAGTCCTGCACTCTCCAGGTTCAGGCTGCGCAGTTGGCTCAGGTTCTTGAAGATGCCAGCAGGCAGGTAGCCCATCCCACCGTTGCTGTCAGCCAGCGTCAGGTACTGCAGCTGTGCCAGGTCATCAAAGGCATCGGCAGGGATGGCTGAGAGCGAGTTCTGTGACAGGTAGAGCGAGCGCAAGGCACTGAGGCCCTGGAAGAAGCGTTGTGGGACCACACGCATCCCATATGGCTGCTGCGCCTGCAGCTTCAGGTCATAGAGGTTATGCAGGTAGCGGAAAGGCGGCAGCTGCCGCAGGTGTCGGCTCAGGTAGCGCAGCGCATTGGCACGCAGGTCCAGCACACCCAGTGTCACCTGCACCGGCTGGAATGTGGCCACCCTCACCTCCAGCAGCCGGTTACGGTCCAGGTAAAGCCGGCAAAGCCGCGGGAGGCCCTGGAATGCCTTGGCTGCCAAGTGCCGCAGGTTGTTCCCACCCAGGTCAAGGGTCTGCAGGTGGTCAAGCCCCTTGAAGGCACCAGGGAAGAGCACGGCCACACGGTTGTTGCGCAGGTTGAGGTCTTCCAGCTGGTGCAGGTCAGCAAAGGAGCCAGGCAGGAGGTCAGTGAGCAGGTTGTTGTCAAGGCGCAGGTGCCGCAGGTGGCGGAGTCCACGCAGCGCTGCGCGGTCCAGCCGTGCCAGCTCATTCACATCCAGCCGCAGCTGCCGCAGTGCTGGTGCATTGTCAAAAGCACCCGCAGCAGCCACTAGGATGCGATTGAAGCGCAGGGACACGTTGTGCAGCTGCTGCAGAACCGGGGTTCTGCTGCACGATGGCAGCCGCTGCAGCAAGTTGTGCTCAGCCACCAGCTCACGCAGTGCTGCATGCTGCTCCCGGTTCAGCAGCCGCCCTACGCAGCCCAATTTCCGCAGCCGGTTGCCAGACACATCCAGGGCATCCAGGACCGGACACTTGGCCAGAGCCCCATCAGGCATTGATGCAAGCCCCATACGCTGTAGCTGCAGGCTCTGCAGCTGCTGTCCTGTCAGCTGCTGGCACAGGTATTCCAGGCCGCCTGCACCCACCCGCAGCCCTGACAAATCCACCTGGTATGGGGAGACTCCAGGCACGCGCAGCAGCTGCACCACATCCAGCGGGTTCCCAGCCAGGTGTAGGTATGTCAGGTTGTTCAGGCACAGGTGAGAGAGTGGTGCAGGGTCTGAGATGTTGTTGTAGGAGAGGTCGAGCACACGCAGCCCTGGGGGCATCACCCCAGGGGTGGCCCCTGAAAGAGCTCCCAGGGAGTTGTTGCAGAGGTTCAGGACCCTCAGCATGGGCGGCAGTCCCGGGCCCAGCGTTGACAGCATGTTGCCACACAGGTCGAGCAGGTCTAGGTGTGTCAGATTCCCCACAGCCATGGCCACAGGCTCCAGTGCGCTGAGCCGGCCTCCCCGCAGCCGGAGTGTGCTGAGTGCAGCCAGCGGCCAGAAAGCGCCGGGGGCCACCTTCTGTAGTGGATTGTGGTCCAGCCGCAGTGTGCTCAGGTTGCCCAGCCCAGTGAACACACCTGTGGCCAGCACTGACATATTGTTGTGGGCCAGGTCTAGGTGGGCCAGTGCTGACAGCCCCCAGAAAGCCCCTGGGGCCAAGAGTTCCAGCAGGTTGTGGGTCAGATCAAGGGTGTAGAGCCGCGGCAGGTGGGCAAAGGCACCGGGGGGCACCTGGCGCAAGATGTTGACAGAGAGGTTGAGGGATGTGGCAGTGGAGGGAAGGTCGCCCACTGCAGCCCCCACAGTGCTCAGGAAGCGCTGGATGCAGCGGAACAGGCCAGGATCCCATGGCGCCTGGATGCAGTTGTGGAAGCCATAGGGAGAGACCTCTGCAGGCACCATCACCAGTGTCACCAGCGTCACCAGCAGTGGGGTGCACATCCTGCCTCACCCTGGGGACATCCTGGATGCAGTGGGAGAGAGTAGGATGAGGCATGTCCTTGGTATCATAGAGAGTCCCCTCAATGCCCAGGGACTACACTTGGGGCTCAGGGATCCCCACTACCCTAGGGAATCCCCACCACCCTAGGGAATCCCCTCACAACCCAGGGACCCCATCAACATCCCAAAGACCCTACTCAGGGCCCAGGGACCCCTCATCCACACTCCAGGGACCCCCACCAGAACACCACGATCCCCACTGTGCGTCCAAGGACTCCTTGTCCACACCCTACGGACTCACACACATACACTCCAGGGATTCCCTTCAGGGCCCAGAGACCTCCTCCATTCATAGCCCAGGCAGACACACCCCAGGGACCCCCATCACAGCCCAGGGACCTCCCCCAGGGCCAAAGAACCTCCACACACCCCAAGGACCCCTTGCCCCCCAGTCCCCAGGGATTTTGGGGACCCCCTGCTCCCCATAAAGTTCCCACCGTGCCACTGCCTCTGCTTTGGGTGATTTTGGGGTTAGAAACGGGAAGTTTAGGGTATCACTTTTAGTCACTACTGCCCCACCCACCTCCCTGTGACATGGGTGGGGGACGCCCCCGCCTGGACAGATTTAAGGGGCCCCGAGGGGCTGGCAGGGGTACGCGGCCACACAGCTGGGTCACCCCCCCAGCGCAGACTCCTGGGGTCTGGGGGGGTCCCTGGGACACCCAAGCCTCTTCCCTTCCCCCCGCCCCGCACCGTCCCCCTGCTGCCACGTGCTGCTCTTTGTTCCTCTTCTCCTTTCTCAGACTGAAGCACCTGGTTTTAGTTCCTTTGGGGGAAATACTGGGCTGTACTGGCTTATTCTCTCTTATACCGGGCTATACTGGACTGCATTGGTCTATACTGGGCTGCACTGGGCTGCACTGGGCTGTATCGGGTGTACGCGGTGCCAGCGGGCGGCACGGAGCGCCCCGGGGCTGCACGGCCCGGTCCATCCCGGGACAGAGGCGCGGCGC